AGTAAAGTTTCTTACCTTGAAATTCCAGGAAACAGTCGTGTACCCGTATACAGACACCAGTCTTTAGCCGATAAATATTACTCTCACTATACTATGACTTCTCTTCGAGCGATATAAACGCTCTTCATGATAAGTGTTTTCTTAACGCATAGATTTTAGTCTCGAAAAAGGTGCTATTTGTGGTCCGTTTTTATAAGGCAACTGAAAAACCTCCATAACTCATTTCGAATGAATTCGCCAACCTCAAAGTGTCTATCAGCATAAGTCGTCACTTGTACCATATCATTACTTTGCCATAAGCTAAAATTGAATTTCAGAAGACATTTATACAGTTAAAACAAAACATGAAGGACAAATATACCTGCACAGTTGAGATGAATACTTTCCAGACAGTCGAACTAATTCTTTTTTGTTCATTCACTCATATTATTCAGAACTTTATAAGAGATTGTGCCATTCCTCATTCTAAAAGGAGTAAAATCCATTATCTACGAAGAGTATAGAAATAAGAAAACAAAAGTCGTCCATTCTTTAGCAACTTTTCTATGAGGTACAATTTATTTTACATGTAAACTGTCTTCCGAAATGATACCTGCAAGAATATCTTATTTATAAACTAGTGAATAGTCGAACATCCTAGAAAATGAGTAATTTGTGTGGACTCTAGTTTTAGATATAAATGACCGGATTTCTTGCCGATTTTGCCATAATTATGATAGTTGACAACAATTTACCATTCTCAGTTGTACATCTTTGTAAATATCACCAAATAACATCTGGATTGTTTGATCATTCTATTTTATTACTAGAAATCGCTAAATATTATTTTAAGAGATAAGCTGAAAGTTATAATCTGGAGGGATTTGCATTTTGTCGAAATTCTATGTATATGTCCGCAGTCAGTGACTCTTATCTCAGTTACACTGTTAAGCAGAATTGCACTGTCACACACACACACACTACATATCCATCTTTAAATATTAAGCAATGCAAAGGAATGTGCTTATTAATTGTTTTCAAGATACAGGTTTTAACTTGAACCTTTCTCCTTGAATATGAACTGTAAAAGGGACTGCTGAGTACGAATCAAAAACCCAATAACCTTTGATTTTCTCAGAATGTTTAACTAATAGAGATGCAATGACACTGTACTTCTACACTTTTCCTCATGTTTTTCTTATGCCTAGTCTAGTCTGCTTATTCGGCATTGTATGTAGACAGGATAAGAGAGTGTTGGAGGTGAAACGCAAAACTCAGACTGGTAAACTTGTCTCATAATTATTTTATATCATAATACGACTTGTAAGCATAGCATTCTTGAGTCAGACAGATATTCCATTTTTGAAGCATAAATCTAAGTAGCTGTCATTATAGGCATTTATTCAACATATAAGACCTTCCATTATCTACATGAGATCTGAACAGTCGCAATTATGGGAACTTAAATTAAAGTTTAGAGTGGATGTCACGGTATATCACTGAAATTTCAGGAAAAGTTACACAACATGACTTAAAAGATAATTTCTGATAACGGTAATAGAGATTCTTAAAGTTAAGAAATATTTTTGTCTTGTTTCAGACATTCAGTAATTTGCTTTCGTATATAACACTAATATAATCACAGGATATTGTGTGCATTACTGCAGTAATTTTCAGGATATAACTCACTTGAATAAGAAATGGTCGTGTGATTCGATCGATTGACTAATTGTAACAGGATGTTAATGTGCTCGTGTCGTCTGAGTTGAATGCAGATCTTTTCACAAGTGGATAATTGAATAATTAAAAGTGATTCTGTAATATTTTGTAATAACTTGTGAGGTGTTAATTAGACTGTTTCATTAAATTGGGTGAGAAAGATATGGACTACACCTGCGTGTTCGTATGTGTGTATGCTGTTTTGTCCACTAATTATCCTGTTTCCGTCTATCTGTTACAGAACAGATTTTTTTTTGACTTCAGCACTCACACTTCTGGACTTCATTTTTCTTTTCTTTTTTACGCTTTCTGTGTTAAGACTAATAAGAAATTCACTTAAAATTCAATTTATGGTGTGAAATTCATTAAGAAGTTACGTAACTATCGGTTGATTAGGTAGAAGGTAAAAATGGTCTAGCATAGAATAATTTTTATGCCTATTGTTACAACCTTCAGTTAGATAATGTTTGATTGACTTTATCATACTAATGCTACTGAAATCACATTACTAAATAAATGCGTATTCTGGCATCATAACCGATACTGATGTCTGACTGAATTAGATATTTGCATTTACGCATGTTTCAACTGCAGCCGACTGTCACTTACAGAGAGAATGGTAAGATACTTCAGAGGTGACCTAGTGGTTCTGACCTAGACTGTTTTTAAATTTACGAGTCCACTGAGTGAAACAATTGCACAAGCGAATGCGACATTGTCTTGTGATACATGGTTTCCACGTATTTCGTAGAAAGTGTAGGTTGCTGGTGGGAATTTTCCTGGAATCAGTCATTTCTGCTGCAACTAGTTCGATTACGGTGGTCTGAAGGGAATGAAATTCCTGATGATAATAATAATAATAGTGATAATAATAATAATAATAACAGTTTTATTCCAAACAGTACTTTTAATACAAATATGGAATATTCGGCATATAATACAATATTGCATGTAATTTTCTCATCACAGGGGCAATAATTAGAACAGAGTTTTTACATTAACAATACTGTTCAATAAGAAGTCAATATAAAATTAAATCAAATGAAAATATTAGCGATAATGTAATAATGAGGACGAAAAACAATGCCGTTTACTTAGGGTTCCTCAGTAAGTTGGTAGTGTCCTGTTTTACACTCTTCTCATCACATAAAATGTTATGTATGCTAAATAACGTATCGTAGAGTTTTTGTACTTAGTCGTTCGACTATACAATCTTCTATATTTGCTTCTAGTTCTACCCAATGAGATGCAAAGAGAGAGTTGTATATGGAAAGGATGTTCAGATTCTTGCAGGAATCCAAGTGTCCATCTACAATAGTATTAACGAGTTGGTTTAACAACACCGCACCCACTGGCCCTACTGACAGTTTCTAGTGCCCCTCATAGTGTAACAAAGTCTTTTCTAAGTAGCCCGGGAAACATCAAGTGATAACAGTAATGAAGTATAGGCAGAATACGAGAATTAACAAACGGTAACAGTAGAGACGGAATGATACCAGAGCGTCTTAACTTCCTTACATAGTAAGTCAAACGAAATGTCTTTCTGGAAACTAACATGATGTGGGAAGACCAGGAAACACAGGTCAGAGGAAATACACAGTCCAAGGTATTTAACATTCGATTTAGCTTCAACCTCTGTGTCATCTGTGATAGTGGGACTATGCGAGCTAACCAGTTTACGTAAGTCGCGCTTGCGTCTGAGAGTTTGATTACCCACCTGACATGTGGAGGGATTACGCTAAAAATCACTTGACGAGGAGCGCTGACTAATTTCTAATAAAAAGTTATTCATTTTGTAACAGTCTGACTGAGAACTAACGGGTATAGAAACATTCAGATCATCTTTAACAAAACTGGCTTCACCAGAATGGGGCAAGTCATATTAGAAGAAAGAAAACGGGAAAGGAGAAAGAATAGCTTCCTGAGGAACACCAGCATTAGAGGACTTCCCATTGTAAACAATGCACTCCCTTCCACCAGAAAAAAAGGGAATGCAACCATTTGGTAATCCAGCAGCCTGTTTGTGTTGCAGCAACCTTGTTTAACAAAAGAGGCCTAGGTACATGGTTGAAGGCATATGTATAATTAAGGAAGGCACACCGAATATATTTGGCACCTATGTCTAAATTAGAAATAATATTATGATATAAGACGACAGTGGCATTTGACGTACACCTGTCATATTTATCAGGGAATTGTTTATCCCTTACATTGCGTAATACGTTTTCCGACGACAAATTTTACCAGTATCTAATTGGTCTTAATACTATTACGAGTGTACAGTTTATCAAAATGTATCGTTGAAAAGAAAATTTTCTTCGTTGTTTACATTTTTTTCTTATGCCTGAATATAGGAATATTTCGTTCATTGAAAAACTCCAAGGACCCTGTAACAGTGAAAGAATTGGAAAAATTCCTAGCTTTTTCTACCAAGCTTGTTGAAATTAACACGCAGCTTAGTATTCTAAAGCGATGAATCGATAAGCATAAGCATCCAAAACAGTATTGGAATAATCTCCACCTAAATCACATTTGCCCTAATTCAAAGACATTAAAACCTCATATATTAAATCACATCGAGTCCGTCCGATCATGCCTACTTAAACTTGAGAGAAACAGATGACAAAGAACCCATGCTTTACACTAACTATCTGATGATAAACGTCAAACGTTTCAGGGTTTATGTATCCAATGTCATACGAAAACGTTGCGACGATACTACTTCGCGACTAACACAAAACTCTGAAATCATCTGAACCTGCCTCATCGTTTCCACAAAATCCTGAGAAGTATGTCTTTAACTTTTGGAATTTTCTTGTCACTCCTATTCAAATCCAAGTCCTATCACCTGGTCCGAAATTGTTCAGTGTATCGCCTTAGTATGTGGTCGTGAAAATCGCTTGTAAAGAAGGATATAATGGACAAATCTATCTTTTCGCAACTTATGAACAGAAATTAGTACCATTATTTGAGAGTTGAGAACCCAGGAGATGGGTAGTTGCACTAGTTGTGCAGTATAATAAATTCGCTTTGTCAACAGCATTATTATAACAAATCGTCTAAGTATAATGCAGACACATATACATGAAATGGTTTTGCGCGAAATATTTTTGACGCTCTTATTGTCCAATGAAAATGTAATAATCGGCATGAGATTGTGTTAATTTCATTGGCTGCCTTAAATTGATCGGTTATTAACCAATCAGGTGCTGCGATTTTTCCTTACACTTTTTGCCAGTTAGTAAGGCGGTGAGAAAAAGTGAGAAGAAAAATATTATTGTTATTTATTACAAATAATTAGGGGTGGAGTTTCAAGAAAATAATGAAATACAAGTGAATGAGTTTTAATTTTTCAGATAAAAAGGTCGAGTAATTATCAAATTCTTCAAAACAGCTGAAGCTTATCATCACACTCACAGTGTTAACCTTTTTTGTGAGGGTCAAGAATCATAACACAGCCTGCAGAGTTAAGCACTCAACACGTTCTCAACCAGCAGTATTCTCTATTGAAATAACAACCAAACGACTAAATAAAATTTCGCTTTGAATATATATACGGATACAAAAGTGATACTGTAAAAAATACAACCGGACTTAATCTTATAATTCACTTCGACGCTTAATTTAATCTCCCACAAATACCCAGTTGCTCATCAACTGTTTGAAGACATCTCTAATTGAAACACATTTTACTTATTGCATCCGTTTAGATACTGGACATTTGAATGTAAGTTATAATTTCTAAAAGTAATCAATGTGTCATTATTATTACTGCTATTGTTAATTGCTTTTTGATTTTATATTTGTTAAAACCAGTCATTCGTAGTCATCAAAATCCTAAGCAAGTTAACTAGATGTCGGTTGGTTGTAGTGCATACTAACTTCTTTTAGGCTACCGAACAGTTCCTAAAACACTAGGTCTTCTCTACTATTTCACACTAGATCTTCACTAGGTAATTTCTGAGCAAATACTCCCCAGGTTAGTTGATAATGAAGAGTGCAAGATTAGTAAGCTTAGAGAAATCGGATATCTCTGGAAGTGATGATGACAGGTCTTCTTCCAATTGATCTTTAGTCTTACTTCCCAGTATGCTTAATTTCTAATGTGAAAAAAAGAACAGGGATGAAGTACTTAATACTTAATACTCAGTGGTAATGTCTCTGACTGCAGCACTGGGTGACGCGGCTTCGGATCTCAGAAGGGATATGAGTTCCTTCGAGGTTGGAGATACGCCTTGCTGACGAGTGCCAACTAGCACAGAATATAGGCACTAAAGTCAGTCATAATATCCAAGTGATCTTCACAGCTTAATGCACAAAAGGTGGATATAATTTTTGGATGGTGTTTTCATCTCAGTTTTCACTTATCTCTTCCACTTATTAGTTCTAAAAAAACAGCCTGGCTAGATTACTTCATAATAACCACTAATTGATTGGTAATGAATGGCTATGAGATATCACTGATTGATTTATATTCTGTCGTATTTTAGAAATATATGATGATCCTTTCGTATGATGATCAACTTGCATACATAAGTAGTAGTCGTTAGAAGTCAATCAGAAGAGATCGTAGCATGCTGGAAACACCAGTTCTCATCTGATCATCATCAAAGTTAACTGAACCATTTTGCCCTTCTCTTTTTCATCAGTAGAAAGTTTACAGTCATAACGATTAGTTGACTGACCCACCAAAAAGCCCATTGAAGTATGCTATGTAATGCTTTTTGTTTTCATGTCTGCGGAGGACATGTCAAATTCGGTTTATTCATTTTACAAACATCATCACCCACTGCCGAATGCAGCTACATCCAGTGACGAGTCCCAAATAGGACGAAATGCGCATCCTGGATTCCACTATTAGTCAACATCGACGAACATGCCAAGACATCGTCGGAGCATCTGCAGAAGAAGCCGACATATCAGCCTGAGACCGACCACTTCGGTCCAATCAATAGACGGGAAAATCTAAAGTTGAAGTAAATGATTATGCTTTTTGTTTGAAATATTCCCCACGGTTGAAACTAGTATATGCTAACGGCTTTTTTGGCTTCTGTTACGTAGAGTGACCAGAAAGGAAGGAAGTTTATGGAATACTAGGAGTTTCACCCCTTACAACAATCTCTACCAAGAGTTCAGACCTTCAAGCCCCAGGTTCCACTTGGAAGGCAAAGAATGAATATATACGTATCTATTTTTTATTAAAACACAAACCGGTGACCAGGAGATGCACTACACGAAATCTCACAGTTTGCTTGTGGGCTGAGTTTCTGCTCAGATACCTAGAATGAAACAGGGGATTGTCTTAAAGGCCAGCTTTGGAGCCTTTGACTTGAAGTCTGGTTCAGAAGGCAGTAAAACAGAGTCAGGAACTACGTCCCCGTGGTTACCGGTGACCAAAACAGGTTCATATTTCATGATATCCCTCGAATTTGAGAGCCTGTGTGTGCATATCACAAGTTTGGATTCAGAGTTTTTCAGCTTCTCAAAGTGGACCAGCATGCCCATCAGTCTGGTTGTAAGCTAAAAACATTTGAATTCGTACATTCATTTTTGTGGGGGAGACTTCGCCGCATGAAAGCAGGACTTACCTGGTGGAGACTATGAATGCATTGCCACATGAGAAGACTTCAAGAGGAAGAGAGAAGTCTACCCACCCTTGGCCATACCAGTTTTTTTATGGGGGCATATATATATATTCATTTAAAATTTTGAGTTTATTGATAATGCATAATTAAGCACAAGTTTTGGTTAAATTTTGTTAACGACAACTACTAAAGTTGAATAAAAACCTTAGTAAAAAAAGAAATAGAAATCGAACCGGAAAACTTTAAGTTGTATGTCTACAGAAGAACTTTCAAACACAGTCGTTTAATTTAACTTCAGTTACTGGTAGTTTTGTATAACCTATGGTGAGTTCAAATAGAACTCAACCAGTAAATGGATATGACTAATTAGTCGTCATTTAAACAAATAGAAATAGCCTTGACAACTAGTAGGGCTACCTAGCGGCGATTCTATGGCAGCTGGTTTCAATTCTATCAGTAACAGAGTTTCAGTTCCAACTCTTATCATTTCAAGTGTTGGTTTGTAGGGATTTGATTTGGTTACAGGATTTTATCATGAGCTGACATTAGTTAGAGAACCATTGGAAAACCTGGGAGTAGCCAGAAGGTCTTGAGTTCGAATCCCGGTGGATGCGCACAGATGAAGAGTCCCAAACTAGGACGAAACAGCTGTCCAGTACTCCCAGGTTTTCCAATGGTTCTCTAACTAATGTCAGCTCATGATGAAATCCTCTTATTATTTATTTGCATTTTCAAGAGTATCAGTGTACTTGCGAGGAATTTATCAGGTAATTTTGATTACTAGAAGTATGAAAAATATCAGGCTGAGTAGTCACTTAGAGGATAGATCTACCATTCAATTCATTTCAGAAGTAGATCACACTAAAGAGTGTGTTGTTTGCTGTTGAGAGATAAAGTATTCGCCTTAAATCAAGCCATTTTAACAGTTTACGGAAGATTCCCTTATGTTGTTCAATTTCACTGCTGAATCTGGGGATTGGCGTGCCAGTGATTATGTACATACTAGTAAAATTCACTTTACTTGCTAACTCATAGTCTGAGAAACTTCCACTATTCAATATCAATCAGCTGAGAAAGTCTCTACAACACTCATTTCCTAGATCTCGTCCTCATTTACGGCATTATGTCTAGCACATCTGCAGCTTCTACGACATGGAGACTGGGTTGAATCAGACTAAATACACCACCTATGAGCTCAGTCCCTGATGGGTGAAACTGTCTGTTTGGTGTTTAGATCATTTCAGTCTGGACAGCAAGCGCTAGTTATGTCACTCAATCAGTAGTGTGTTTAGCGTCGTATATTTTTATGCTTGCTTTCTTGGTATGATATTAAGCAGATTACACACACTGTGAACTGCATGAATTGCAGATAGAGAATTTTTGTCATTTCACTTTTTTCATCACTAGAATATTAGGCTCTCAGATAACTCAGTAACTCACTTAGGCATATTAACGAGACAGTTACATGGTGTAACCTATATTCGACTGTCTAGTCTTCAATGGTAAATTACACTGTTAAATATTTGGGTTTTTTTTCGAAAAGACAGAGTGGCAAGTTGCGTGCAACCAAAGAGCGTATAATTATCAGCAGAGCTAACTAAGCCCTAATGCATCTTCCTATATTCTGACTCATGTATACATTGTAGTGTTTTGTATGTGATAACAGAGTCAACTAAATGGCTGTAGAATGTGTTATTTTATGCAATGTAAAATACATCCGCCGACCCTGTTTTGTCTGTGTTGACGACTATTATTTTTCAAAATTTTATTCCTATGCATACCGAGTGAAACATCGGGCTTCGGTATAGAGCTGTGAAGTTTCAGTAGCTGTGGTGTTTTTCTCCAGCGTGAGGTTACTTGCCTCACGCCCAACTTCCCCCCCCCCACAACCCACTTAATCAGGCTTGTTGACCGCAAAGCGAGGCTTAGGAGTGGGTCAGCCTGGGATCAAACCCTGAACTACATGGATGGTTGGGTGACCAGTCTACCGCTGAACCACCGACGACCATCTACAATGAAAATGAATAATCTGTCTTTGTGTTTCTTACTCTTAAGTGGGACAAAATTCCGTGTCACAATTATTGTTTGTTCAACTATATATCGTCTATTGGACGTTTTTATTACATTGATTTTTGGTATGCACACTGCTAAAACGACATAAAATTGGATTAAATAACTGTCTTTACGAATTTAATCTGTTTTGAAAAGCACACTGAAGATAACACCAGATGTTATCACTAGAAGTTCATCAATGCATTTCACGGCGGTCAAACAAAAACTTGGCATCAGTCAATGAAATCCACAACAGTTGGTCTAAGCCTGTCACGTAGGAAGGTGTAGACTTCCAGGCTGGGGTCCTCGGGACGGTAAAAATCTATGGTTGGAAACAATTGGTGACATGGCTCAAAACCGTTCTCAGTGGCGCAGATGCATCCACTCCCTGTGACTTATGATCTTCAATGAAACTGTTTTGTTCTTCGTTATTACTCCTCCTTTGTCTCACACCTCTGCTCACTGTTTCTATTATGCTTTTCTTGTACTTTCTTCTCTTGCTTCGCGTGCTACACGGAATGTGGCGACTTGAACTTCCGCACATTTGTGCAAAGTTCTATGTCGAAAACAGACAATGCATTTCACTCTACAAGAAACTGAATCACCTCTTGACAGTATAATTCAGGGAATTATGATTGTAAATAGACTGACCACCAATAGACAGTACTGTAAGCTGTGAAGTAGTGGTTGGCAGGTTTGTAAATCCCAGATAGTTTCTCTTAGTACTATTTCAGCCACACACACAAAAAAAAGAAGCACTTTCTTCAGCTTATCAGAGCTGTCGTAAAAATGCTTTTCATATCAGTTTCTTTTTATTTAAGGAAGTCTGCCTTTTCTCTATGGTTTTGACAATATGCAGTTTAAATTTGATCAGTGTAGTTTTACCTTGATGTTATATATTAATTCATTTATCAACTGTACATTGTCATTTGTCTTGCCTATTTAGATATATTTAAATGCAGACAGAATATATGGCCCCACAGCACTATCCACCCAATAAATGTGATCAGTTCAATGATTCCGCAGAACGTTGTTCCCTAGCCAATGTAACTTCAGATTACACAGATTCAAGTCATTTTAATAAATCATTTAACTTCTATCCAACAGATAATATTAACATGTATTCATCAGTAGACAGTGATCATTATTCTTTGAATAATACAAGACAGAATTTAGCAAAGTCGTCAGAAAATTTATTCTCTCATGTGCATAACTTCAATCAAACTATTGAAGCCAGTCAGTATTTCCAAACAAGTTATGCCTTACGGGCAACGAATAGTAATGTTGTTCCTGTTAATAATACTGCTATTACTACTGTTGTTGTTGCTCCTGCTGCTGCCGCCGCCGCCGCTACTACGACCAATACTACTGCCATTAATACCATCAGTAATAACACCAATGATAATGCTAATAATATCAGCCTTAATCATAACAGTAGACAATCGATTTATTCGAATCGCTTCGATGATAAGTATTCAAACATTGAACACCAGAGTAACACGCATTATCATACAAATCAAGCCGGTGGTGAACACTTTGAAAATGAGTTTCTAATAACACCACAGACACATCACCTACATCCTGTTTCCAACTACTATCCTCTTACACCTATTTCTCTTCCATCTCAACAACAGATGCAGCACCATTTACAGCCTCATGCAACACAGCAATCACACAACGTGGTCAATTATACACATACAGCAGCACCTACATCGCCAAGAATGAAGGAGAAGTCAAAAAATGCGGCTCGTACACGACGTGAAAAGGAGAATACTGAATTTTATGAATTAGCTAGATTGTTACCATTGCCTAGTGCAATTACTTCTCAGTTGGATAAAGCGTCTATCATACGCTTAACAACGAGTTATTTAAAAATCAGAGCTATATTTCCTAATGGTGAGTGCTTCATTGTATTAGATAATTCTGTTAATCTTAATTTTAAATACACTTCTGTTTACCAGGAATGAGTTACATGTATAGGAGTAATTTAAAGACAATTCTTTATTTTCAGTTTAAAAGCTGGTTCATGAACTATTGATATAAGTGTAAAACTTGGGCACTGTGGTAGAGATTTTATTTTGTTAAATCACACACTGTTGTACAGTTGTGTGAATTACTTGATATGATTATAAGCAATAAATTGTGCTCGAAACGTCATCAGTTAATATTACTTACGTACAACACTGTGTGGTTCATCAAAATAAAATCTGCTTCATGAACAGCTGTGAAAAGATTCTAGGACGAAAATTCGCGGCTATCATGGTGTTACTGTTCGTTAAATCAGACTATACCATGATTGGATCATGTTAGATTCCACTGTGTACGATTTCTGGAAACTCACTGTATATGCTCAAAATGTAAAAGATATAGGTGAAGTTCTTGAAGAGTACTGTAACTTAGAGTTAAAAAGCTTGAAAGAAAACTTTTCCGAGATAATACTTCATTTAACTCATCTAATTAGCTAATTAATATCTTGAGATCAGAAGCTTTCGATCAGGATCTACTTTTTGTGATATAAAATACTTTCAGCATAACAATCTTTAAAGTAAGTAGACTGTAGGTTTCACATCCCACATCCTGAAGATTTTGTTATACAAATGTATATATAGGGTACAGTTGGAATCTATTATTTCTCAAGTACTGATTCTCAGGGATTCGGTTGTTTTCAAGGTAGATCAGGGGTTGAAACCAGTCAGAGAATCATTAAAAACCAAGATGTTCAGGTTATGAGGCAAGCCCTTTGACCATTTAGCCAATGAAATAAACTGATCGTTGTACTAAGAATCTCTAATTGACAAAGGTTAGAATTTATTAGCCATTGGATCCCATACTACTGGCTGCGTTTGTTCACGAAGGGGTCATGGGTGTGCACTTCTGAAGATTTCCAAACTATGACAGAAGTTAGAATTCATGGGCTATTGGATCCGGCCCCAGTGGCTTAATGGTATACGAGCTCACCTTGTAACCGGAAGGTCCTGGTTCAAATCCTGGTGGGTACGTACTGCCGAAGAGTCCCAAACTAGGACGAAACAGCTGTCCAGTACTCCCAGGTTTTCCAATGGTTCTCTAACTAATGTCAGCTCATGATGAAATCCTGTAAGCCAATCAAATCCCTACAAACCAACAGTTTAATATGACAAAACAGCTATCCAGCAATTCCTAGTTTTCAATATTTTTCTAACTGATACAGGTCCACGGTCTAACCTGAAATTTATCCATTTCATAGTAATTCCAAGGCAGGTGATGGGATGTGGTAATGTGTTTCTCTATCTATGTTGGCTTAGGCATAGTTTTGTAATTTCGACTTTGTATAATCGTATATGTGTGTATGACTAATGCAAGAAATTTTAGAGAATATTACTTGCAAATCTGAAGGCAGTTATTGCAAGCAATTTGTTTCAGTCTTAGATACGATTACTTCAGATTAAAAATAAATTATTTTGCATAGTTCTACGAGTCAGGAGGATTAGCACAAAAAGATGAATGTATATACTGGATTAAATGATCAAGAAGTAGGTTAAAAGCGATCAAATGGTTTTAACTAATCGATCTGCCTGTAGTTGTACTTGCACTTGTAACTCAGCATTACTGTTTTATGGATCACTCTCAACTACTCACTCTCTTTCCTCATACTTCTGCAAAGTAATGTATTAATCAGGGGGCTGGGAGTGGGAGCGAATTTATAACAAGAATTGTCAGGCAGTTTAAATATTAGATAGTTGGAGGCAATCGGCAGGAAGCCTTGGATCTGGTTTCGCGCTAGTTGGCACTCGTCAGCAAGGCGTATCTCCAACCTCGAAGGAACTCATGTTCCTTCTGAGATCCGAAGCCGAGTCACCCAGTGCTGCAGTCAGAGACATTACCACTGAGTATTAAGTATTAAGTACTTCATCCCTGTTCTTTTTTTCACATTAGAAATTAAGCATACTGGGAAGTAAGACTAAAGATCAATTGGAAGAAGACCTGTCATCATCACTTCCAGAGATATCCGATTTCTCTAAGCTTACTAATCTTGCACTCTTCATTATCAACTAACCTGGGGAGTATTTGCTCAGAAATTACCTAGTGAAGATCTAGTGTGAAATAGTAGAGAAGACCTAGTGTTTTAGGAACTGTTCGGTAGCCTAAAAGAAGTTAGTATGCACTACAACCAACCGACATCTGGTTAACTTGCTTAACTTACATTTTAAATGCAATTAAGATTGGTACTGAGGTTTATAATTCATCTCTTACTGAGATATTTCACGACCTAAAGAAACAGTTAAGACCTTATTTTAAAAAAATAATAATAAGATCAGTATCAATGTGATAAAAAGGCGAGAAAGAATGAATGAATGTGAACCCATCGTAATCAACACACGAAGTTACCTAACGATAGTAGCTAATGTTTTTAATTGTAAAATTCCAAGCGATAAATTATTCACTTAGTTATAAAATAATCGAACACTTTAAGGCTTATCGATTGAATTAACCGCATATAGAACTGATAAACTCTATGAGTAAATACTAAGTTAAAACAAAACCGTTAAATTCATGTGATATATATATATATATATATATATATATATATATATATATACTTTTTGAGTACTATCTAAATGGATTGAGATAAAGCATGTTTTTCCTCTTTCTGGCTGCATGAGTATATTCACTCAAATATATGTATGTATGCGTATATGTATGTGTGTATATGTGCGTGTACGTGCGCAGACAATTAAGTGTGTGACTGCTCATCTGTATATGATATCACATATATATACGTTCACTGATAACAGTAATCGCAATTATCATTATTATTCTAATAACGAGAGTTGTGGTCACAGCAACAAGTGTAGGTCATTAAAACTTATTATCTCACCTTCAAATTTACCAATAGTAACAATAACGATAACAAACAAAAAAATAAAACAAATAAAAAAATAAAACATTTCGCAACATTATTTCTCAGTTTATGATCACATAGATTGTTTCGTTGTTGTCGTTGTTGTTTTGTTTCAATTTCCTTCATTCGCCAAGATAATATTGAAGAACAGAAACATAATGATGATGAAGAGGAGAAGGAGAACAGAGTTAGTGGTGTGTATGTGTGTATTTGTGTCTGTGGTGAGGGTGGGGGTGGGGGTAAAGGTGTGTGTTCATTCAGCATAAATTTTGCTCAAGACTACGTGAGTATTTCCCTAGAGTCAGTTACTATCCACGTATGTAAACATGTCTGCCCAGCATAAGTGAATATATGCGACACAGTAGAAGGTCATTATTGGCCTTGGTTAAAATAAGAAAAACGAGTTGAATAAATTTATTCTGTCTTCTTTTCAGTTCACATAGAAGTTTCATGTAATAACAATTATAACAGTAATAATAATAATCACCGTAATAATATTAGTATGAAAAATGAGAATTTTAAGTCATTACTACTTTTTTGATAAGTGTGTTTAGAAGAACTAGTTAATCAAATTGACTACAATAAATATTTCTTTGTTTGTGTGTGTGTGTGTGTGTGTGTGAGTTAGTGACAGGCATAGGGGGAAAATTGACAAAATAAGCACGTTCTTTGGATTATTAATACACAGGACACAAGATATTTATATGAATACAGAATATTTTCGTTTCACATAGATATTTACATACGCAATAAAACAAATATGCACACATTAAACTAAACATGAAACTTATTCATTTATGCATTATAAATGTATGACTGAACACCAAAGCGTAAATTTGGTCTGACTGAATACAACGTAAGAAGAACAGTGAAATCGACATTCTGTTTAAGATGTTTTTGCGATTTGCAGACATCCCTGGATTAGGTAAATGAAAGAAGCTCAGTAATAGCAGAATGCTGATCGATCATACATGAGGTTCGGGTTCAATTTCCACATAATGCACTCCTAAACCTCGTTTAGCAAGTAGTAACTGTATATAAAAAGACAGGCTGGTAGTCGAGGATAGCAGTCCCAACGCATAAAAATAATACCACCCTTACTGAAATTTTGGATTTTGAAGCTGTGTGTTTCACTCGGAGCGCAAGGGATAAGAAATTATGGCCTATCACTGAAATGGGTGTCAGCAAATATTTCTATGGAAAATTTAGCTGTATTCGTGTGTTCTGGTATTTGTTATCGGCCCAACGTATTCCTATCTTCTCACTGCCAACGCACAGTCTGACGCATAATCCAGTCCACCACAGTCAGCAATATCATCGGTGATAATAACGGCCTTGTCTGAATCCTGTATTCACTTAGAACGCCTCACTGAGTTTTCTGTTGTCAGTCACCTGACACGTGCCACTATCAGATGGCTGTTGAATGAGGTTGATAAAGACTTCAGCACTGCACACCGTAGTGTTGAATTAGTTTCCAAATTATGTCTTGGTGTACGCTATCTAGTGAAGGCCTCTTCAAAGTCGATGAAGTTGAGGTACGGAGAGGTTTGACTGCCATTCTAAGCTTTGTTCTGTGATGATGATGCTTAGAGTTGCAATTTGATCGGCGCATGATTTGCCTTTCCTGAATTCCGCCGATTCCCGTGGGGTAGAGTTCTGTATCTAGTGCATCCTTTATTCTCTCCAGGATGATACAACTAAGTATTTTAATTGGTGTGGACAAGGGCATTATTCTACGCCAGTTCTTGCTGAGTGACGAGCAAGTTGCCCTTCTTTGGCAGCTTCACGAGGTAGCTTTTCTTCTTCCAGTCGATAGGTAGCTTTCCTTTTTTCCTAACCTTTTGCAATAATGGCGTGAGGACATCTGCCTCAGTCTGTGGGTCTGTTTCCAGTGCATCGTGGGGAATTCCTTCTGGCCTGCCGCCTTCCCATCCAGAGTTCAGTAGCTTGATCACATTTAGTATTTCTGCTTTTGTGGAGGGCTGATGTCCACTGGCAGTTCTGTGAGTGCTGTTGGTGGTATTTCTGGACGAGCTGCAGGTGAGGGTCGACTCGAGAGTTCTCTAAGGTGACCAGCTAATTGCCTTATTTGTTTCACTTCCTTGGTAATCAGGTTCCCTTGAGCATCTTTTACTGGTTTCATCATCTGGGTTGATCTCTTCCGGGATAGAGACTTGGTTATCTGATATAGTATCCTGATGTCTCTTTTACCTGCGGCCTGTTCTGCTTCATTTGCCAGTGCGTCGTAGAACTGTCGTTTGTCTTTTTTAGCACTCTTCTTCACTTCTTTATTCAGTGTAGTGTACATTGAAATCAGCTTCTCCTTCTGCTGCCTATCTTCGTATTGAGTCATCCTCTCTTTCATCATCCTCCTCTCCTTGATTAGCTTCCATGTGTCCGTAGAAAACCATTCCTTGTCTTACTTCTTATTCTTTCTTAAAACAACTATATACGTTTCCTTTAAGAGAGTTCCAGTGTCTTTCCACATTGGTTCCCTAAGTGATGCTACGTAATGTCTCCAACTTTGATCTGATGACTGCAGTGAAGGCATCTTTGCAGTTTTGTCCTTCAAATTCCGAATGTTGGACTTGAATTGTGGCCTGTCTGCAGTTGTTTTCATGGATTTCAGCTTCACTTTGAAGGTGATGGTCTGAACCCAAATCTGCTCCCCTTCTCGACTATGTGTCCAGCAGGCCGCGTCTCTAGTTCCTTGAGCAGCATTGAGATGAAGTCTATCTGGTTTGTGGTGTGCCATCAGGCGAAATCCATTTCACATTGTGTATATCCTTTTGCTTGTACACGCTGCCTCCAATCACCAGATCATTGAATGCTCAAAGTCTGCCAAGAGTTTTCCGTTCTTATTCATTTCGCCAGATGAGAGCCTCTTGGCCCATGATGAGTGATCTTGCTATATTATCTGCTCGCAGTTCAACTGGCATTCATATCTCCCATGAGGATTTGATGTCACCATTTGAGATGTTGTCCATTACTGTTTGTAGTTTTCTATAGAAATCTTCCTTTTCATCTTGTTCCGTTTTGTCTGTAGCACTGTGCGTAGCATTGGATAATTGTGACCTTCCTTCCCTTTGAGTTGAATCATGCTGTCGTGATCCTGGATGAAACTGGTTCCCAGTGCACTAGGGCTGTGGCTGCCACTGATGGCATCATGATAGCCACTCACTGCCTCAGTGTGCTGGTCGTTGTCATCTGAGTGTGTGGCCGGAGTAGATTACTGACTCACCAGTTGACAATTTTGACAGTCCACATCCATTCCATCTGCTCTCACAGATACCCAACACTTCTATACTTTATCTTCATATTCTTTGGCTACCTGGACGGCCTTTTCAGCCTCGTACATTGTACGTACATTTTATGCCCCCATTCTTATTCTCGCTGTTATCGTTAGAAGAAACACCGGCTGACTGACTTCCTGAAAGCTTTCACCATCCCACGTCATTCCATCTCTCCAATCCTAGTGAAGAATAAGTTTTCTTTTTTTAAATATTTTTTTGTGCATTGAATTTTCTGTAGCAGTTGATTAATTTTCTAGGGTGAATGTCAATTACTTTATCAGTTAAATTAGGATTTCTGATTGAATTCTTATATGTAATTGACTTTCTCTTAAGTTCACATATCTGCGAAAATTCTTACATATAATAATGATAATATATTAGTGAATTGAATTTTTGATTTTCCCGTCGATTGATTGGACCAAGTGCTCGGTCTCAGGTTGACATGTCGGCTTCTTGTGCAGATGCTTTGACGATGTCTGGGCATTTGATTTGTATACAATTGGTGGATGGTGGCTAGCAGTGGAATCCAGGATGCGCATTTCGTCCTATTTTGGACTCGTCAGCTGGATGTACCTGCATTTCTATGGGCACTGGGTTCGAGCCTCAGTGGGACCATCATCACTCACTGAGAAATGCAGGTACATCCAGCTGACGAGTCCAAATAGGACGAAATGCGCATCCTGGATTCCACTGCTAGCCGCCATCCACCAATCGTATACTAATAATATATTAGTCACTATAAATATTTACTTTACCCGACTTCAGGTGGGAAAAATTTCGCACAATTATCCTGTCTGTACCTATCCACCCCCCCCCCCGCGAAAAAAAATTCAGATTTTTTCTGAGTGAATACATAAAGTGTTTTCCTGTTTCCTTGATCCGATTACTTAAGGTTTTTCATGTAACATATTTGTTACACACTCAAGAATGTATTTGTCTGCGTCGGTGGCACACAGGTAAAATGCTCGCCGATCATACATATGGTCTGGAGTTCGATCCCCGGCCGAAGCACTCCTTTACCTCGTTAAGCCAGTAAAAGGACTGGTAATGAGGAAAAGTTAGGCATGAGGTCAACAACTCCATCCCGTAAAAATAAACACCACAGCCACTGAAACTTCAAGCCTCTAGCTAGAAGCCCTATGTTCCACTTGGAATGTAAAAGAGTAAAAAATCAAGAATGTATAAGATCCACTGGAATTTTTTATGCAATCAAATAATTCGTCATTAAATGGTCAGTTAATTAATCAGAATATTAATCTAAAATATTTATGACTTATACGTGTGTTCAGACGTCCATACACAACAAAAATTATTCTGACAATCAGTAGAATACTTATTTGGGAAACTGTTATACAAGTTAAGTATATGTATATAATCATTAAATGTAATAAACTGAATGTATATTGTTAACACGTTGACTATAAAAGCCAATGAACACTTTTATGATGAGTGATTTATAAACACTTCAGATAATGAGAATTCCAGATATTTTAACGAAGTTAGACAAACTGTAAAAGACTAGAGAAGGTCTTTTTGCTTTTTCTTATTTTGAATTGCCTAGTTAGTTTGATCTAAGAATTATATTCTCTGATTTACCAATCATTTGGTTACAGGATTTCATTATGAGCTGATATTGGTTAGAGAACCAGTTTGGGACTCTCCAGCAGTACGCAACCACCACAAGGGTTCGAACCCACGACCTTTTGGCTGAAAAAGGAGCTCGTAGACCACTAGGTCACTGGGACCTGATCCCATGCTCCATGAATTCCAACTTCTGCCAGTTCATGACATAGCGCGACTACTTGCCAATGTCTTCGGCGAGTATTTGTGTTCACGCCCGATCTACTATACCTTACTGGTCACGACTTTTCACTAGAGCTCCAGATAACTACCTACTTGAATGGGGCTAGTCGCCAGAGAGCATCTCACTGATATTCAAGTATTAGTTTGTAGAGATTTGACTGATCGAAGAGTCCCAAACTAGGACGAAACAACTGTCCATTTCAAACCAGGCTTTCCAGTGGTTCTCTAACCGATATCAGCTCATGATGAAATCCTGTAACCAATCAATCAAATCCCTACAATCCAATACTTGAATAACCAGTAATTTATTGAATTATATCATGTACATGGTTAGTGTAAAGACTATCCATGTTTAGTTCAGTAGTAGGTAAAGGGGACACAATGGAACCAAATGGGATTGAAATCAGTCTTCCTCGCTTGAATTCCCTTAAATATGCTTGAGTGAGTAAAAATGCCCCGTTAAAGAAGAACAACACTTTCAGTATTAATAGAGTGCTTTTGGGTGTAACAGTTTATGCCGATGATTTGTAATATGTGTTTATTTACTCTCAAATGCCTATTGTTTTAATATTCAGATTCATTGCATTTTTCAATTTTAGGCTTTGGTGATAGCAGGAATTATTCTAATCCTATTTCAAATCATATAATGGAAAAAGAATTGGCTCCAAATATATTCAAAGTATGTAATATTCATTATTTCAAGATATACTTTTTGTAAAAAAAAAGAGTTAAGGATTTTATTTCACCTCCATACATCTTTAGCAGTCAGTCATTTCCTTACAGATTTCCTTATCAAGAATAGGCGCTAAGTGTTCAATATGTATTCATGCCGACTGAACTAAGGACTAAATGGTATATTATAGTTATTAGATTTCCTTCATAACCAATATCACTTACAGAGGTCGTTGAAGACTGGGAAGCATTGGACAAAGGTTTCGTCCTGTTCGGAAACTCTCAGGTACGCCCACCCAACAAATGTAATTATTCTGAAATCCCCTCAAATTCTATAACCTAAGTGGTAAATTACTGCATAGTTTTGTCAGCTGTATAACAGTTTCGTTCGATGTAATGGCTAGAAAAAGGCGGAACAGTGCGGAGAAACGTAATCCAAGAAGCATTGGGGATAATAGACTAGGGTGTTCAGTTATTTCTTTTTTTTCTGTTCAGCACAACTTAGTTATTCAGTTACACATTTTAAAGGGATTTAGCAATGCGCTTTAGGTTTAGCAGTGTTATGATGTTGAAAGCGATTAATCCTAGTCCCCAGTTCATGCCTAGCAGGAAATATGTGCTTAGGTTGGCGATTCAGTGATAGGATGCGCGCCAACTACGTATGTGGTTCGGGTTTCGATACCCAGAGGACGCATTTTTAAGCCCCATTCAGCCGGGAAAAGAAGGAAGGTTGAACGTGAGGCCAACAAACTCACCCCGTAAAAGTGAAACCATGGCCACCGAAACTTCAAAGTCCAAGGTTGAAGCCCTATATTCCAGTTGGAACTCAAATAAATAAAATAAAAAAATCACCACTCAATTCTCGTATGTTATTTGAAACAAATCATGGTAAGGTAAACGAAAACTTTTCGTTTTTTTTTCAAAATGAAGATGCTTCTCACATTTCCTTAGTGACCAGCTGTAAAGCTGAATTTGAAATTAACCGATGATATGGTTAATCAATTTGGCTGTAGGGAATTAAGCATAATAATGGCATAGCTTAGTAAATTCAAAAGAACCAACTCAGTTTGAGTAATTTTGGCAAAATCACCTAGTTCTATGATTTCCTTTCGTTGGTGCTGAGAAGAACAGTGCTGAACGTGTTCTACTAAAAGGGCTGAGAAACATGAAGTTATTACCTGATTTCATTTGTTGACGATTGTGTTTACTTAACTTTGTCATCCGCTTAAAAAAGGATATTCAAAGATGCTTCATTTTTATTTAAAGTAAGATTGGAGGGAGGGGGGGGTTATCGTCAGTTAGTAAAATTCTAAAGCGCAAATCAACAGCAAACAACCGGTTATATGTCTACAATAAGGTTTATGTCAGCGGCGATATAGGTAAAATTTTAAAAAGTGAGTTAATATACTCTTTCTTGGACAGAAATTTGGATAATAATATATCCCCAAGTACTTCTAAGCACCATACTTATCGATAATCCTTTAAAGAAGAAACGCATACAACATGTCGCTCCGATCACCTTTGCCACATCATGAAGTACAAGACTGTTGAAAAATATTTCACTGCACTAAGAAATCACATATTCATTAACAGAGTCTTAATTTAAATTCCATGCACCATTAAGTGGACACTCAAATTTTCAATAAGCCTCATATTCTTACAAAGCTATTAGCATTAAATAGCGAAACGTCAGTAAAAACAATATCGTTTTGTTTTTCATTCATTATTATTATTATGTCCTTTAATTCCTAGAGGAATATAGGGCTTCAGCTGCGCGTCTCCATTGCCTTCGGTTTTCTGCCAACTTTTTCACCCCGCTCCAAGTCTGCCCACATGCTTTCACCTCCTCCTCACATGACCTCCTCAAAGTCACCCTTGCACTGACGACCAACTCGCAGCTTCCATTTCGGTCTGGTTCCACTCGAGCAATGGCTTGTCTAGTGATGTCGCTTGATGGCTTCCTCAGAGTATGGCCAGCCAATCCATCTCCATTTCTTCCTGCTTATTTGTTTCACAATCACTTCCTGGTTGGTTCGCTCATTGCCAGAGATCCTTGTTGCTAATCTTTTCTGGCTGGCCATCTGATCTTGAGTATTGAGCGAAGACAACTATTAATGTAAGTCTGTAATTTGTTTGAGGTGCTCTTTATGACGCGCCGGCCAAGTCTCTGATCCGTGTAGAAGCATTGACTTCACATTGGAGTTGAAAATCCGGATCTTATTTTGATGGTGAGTGATGTTGACCTCCACACAGACTTGAGAGTAATGAAAGCTTGTCTTGCTTTTCCTATTTTGGCTTTGATATCCTCGTCAGTTCCTGCCGCCTGTAGTCGAAACGATGCTTCCCAGGTAGGTGGGTGAAGGAGGTTGTTTTTTCAAGTTCCTCCCATTTATGCTGGCTGACTGTTGTCTGTTGTTGTTGTTGTTGCTGTTGGTGTTGGCCAGGAATCTTCATCACCTCTGTTTTATCTATGTTCACCTGAAGTCCTGTCTTCTCTGCATGTTTCTTCTGCCAGCTTGTCGCTTTTCACTTGCATATCTTCCAGTTTGTGGGAAATCAGACATATGTCATCATCGGCGAAGTCCAGATCCTCCAAGTCTCTCTTTGTGTGAGTCCATTTCATGCCTGTTTCCTCATTGACCGTTGTCTGTCGCATTATCCAATCTACTGCAATCAGGAAAATCATTGGCGATAGTAGACAGCCTTGCCTCACTCATTCATTGGGAAATACAAAAACCTTTATTATAATGAGCCGCAAATTCTCTTTTCAAAAATATAATTTGATAATTGCTTTTCTGTTGCTCAATCAGCTAATATGTTTGTTATATTGTTGTTGCTGGGTTTTTTTTGTTTTGTTTACAGTCAATGGATGGTTTCATCTTCATTTTATCTCAGGAGGGGAAAATTTTGTACATATCTGAAACAGCTTCGGTTCTGTTGGGTTTATCTCAGGTACGCAAACATACTATATCCCTCTTGACATACTCTATGTCTACAAATATTACTATTTTTATGAGTATTATTTTTCATTGTTAAGGAATTTTATTCGAAATCATACTGATTTTTATGAAATGAGATGAGAGAATCTATGCTTCGTAGGTATCTGATTTCTGTGAGTTTGTAACCTGTACTGAATATTTTAAAAAGATATCCCATGTTATTAAAATTTAGACGAAACGAACAGATTTAACAAAACTTAAATAATGAAATACCATCTGTTAACCAAGCGTCGGTGGCATAGCGGTCAGGACACTTCCCGACCATGCACATGGTCCGGGGTTCGATTCCCGGCCGACGAACTCCTTTACCTCGCTAAGCCAGAAACAATGCTGGTAAAGAGGAAAGGTTGGGCATGAGGCCAGCAACCCAATCCTGTAAGAATTATCGCCACTGCTACAAAAACTTCAAGCCCCTAGCTTGAAGTCCTATGTTCCACTGTGAATGTGAAGGAAGAAAAATTTGGTAACCAGACAGGGAGAAGTTCTGTACAATGGATGAAAAACCTCTTATGATTCACATTTATTAGTATTAGATAGACCACATATTTTGAATTGAATGTTTTTGGTTCTCATAAAGTATTGGCGATTTCTCGTCTTGAAGTGTATAATTTGCAAACGACGAGTTTAACTCTGTTTATTACTATTTTGCCCAAGCAACTAGCCCAAAATTTGGGTGGTTTAAAATGCTTCTGTTATCTTTGCTCAGTTGACCTGGATACACCGTTGATAAACTCATCTTCAAACGAGTGTTTATATCAATTCAATCTGGCTGGTGAGCACTGCTGTTTCGTGTGAGTGGTTTTCATCTAAGTCACTCAGCAATCATATTAGTTTACCGCCAGGAGTACAGGGTAAATATTACTGTGTTCTTCCTCTCCTTCTTTAATAACCGTATTTTAATTATAGCACCTTTCAACTGTCAAATTACCAAGAGATTCATGCAGTTGTGGATCAGTTTGAATACCGAATTTCAACTGTTTACTTTATAAAAACACTTAAATAAATGTAATAAATGCATGGCATAACTTTAATATTCATGTTTCCTAAAGTTGATCTCTTTTGTCTATTCAAAAAGGTTGAAATGACTGGGAATGAAATCACCGAGTATCTCCATCCACTGGATCATGAAGAATTAAAACAAATACTAACCATCCATCCATCAGAGATAGCTGCAAATGCTGGTCAATCAGGTAGGCATACACTTTCTTTAGAGTAGATAATTATATTCAGTGCATTAAATAGGCCATGTTATCAAACAATATTGTTGATTAGAATTTAAAAGAAATACCTGAGTAATTGTGTTTCGCTTATCATTAACAGTTACATGACAGTGTTTCGCTTGTAAATTACAACATTGTCAACTTTAATCCTGGAAATGTACAAATTTCAGGCACATACACCCGTTCATACTTGGCCAGAACTGATGACGTCCTCGTCGAGTATCCTAACCGACTATTCTCTGTAGGTCAGTTATACTCTGTGTCTTTGATTAAAGTGACAAGTGCGTCGGTGGCACAGTGGTTAGGACTCCCGCTGATCATTCACATGGTTCGGGGTTCGATCACCTGCCGACGTACACATGATATCAATGGTTGGCCTGCGAAATTTGGACTACCGATATCACATACTGAAGATTCCATACTTTCACCAAAAATATGGCGTGGAATCAAACTATAATAAAAAAAGTGTAGTATTTATTGTCAAAGAGATATCACACAGGACTTGATTTGTACTCAGATCTACTGGGTATTTAACGACTATGAGTCATAGATTCCTGATAACGAGCAAGTGATAATCATTGATGAATTAACTCACCGTTTCAATATATTTCTTTGCTCAAAATATGACTACAAACTGAACAGTGATTGAAATTCTCTTTTTCCCTCTCTCTCTCAGCTTAATTTTCCTTAGATTTTTCAAAAGTTTTTATAAGCAAAAATAAAGTATGATAATTTAGCTTAATGATGGTGAAAAAGTCCCCTAAAGTTTGTTTTTATAGGTGAAGATAAATTACATTCATTCCATTTATAATTCAAAAAATAAAAATTGTTTAAATTAAGCTTGTGTATATAAATAAAGTGAGTATTTTTGTTATACCATCGAAATATGCTTTTTTTGCCATACAAACGAATATGCAGACTAGGCAGACGCGCATATATAAACAAATGGATGAACACTATCGGAAAGTTGCACTGTGGAATTTCTTACAAATAAATGGCTACTGTTTAGAAACATTTCTCTTGCCCAACCCCGTCTTATTTGTTTGTTTTTTTTAGTATCACAACCACCATCCTCTTGACTTTGTATCTTTCATTTTTCTATCCCCCTATCCATTAGCAGTGATCATTTTTGTTCTCAGTCATTGCTTCCTCATTGTACACGTAACAAGTTTCCTAACACAAAAGGAAAAAAAAGGTGTATTTACACAGCTGGATTCAGTGTGTATCTAGATTTCTTCTGATATACATATATCACCATAATCATCGTCACTCCCTCTCTCTCTCTCTCCCTATTCTATACGGTCTTCTTCTTTCCACTAATTTATCACTTGAGTATATATTGTTAAAGTTTAATGCACTTTTGATGATTTCACCCCTCCCTCCCCCGGCTCTCTCTCTGTGTCTTTGCTTCGATCTTCTAAATGTGTTATCCATACTGTTTTCACCTTTTACTCCATTGTTCCATTTTTATTCGAAAAGAGAAGAAGAAGAAAAAGAAAGAATTTATCAGCAATGTTTTCTTTCTGGTGAAAAAGATAAGAAAGAAGCAGAGGAAAATTTCACCGTTAATTTGAAAACAGTTTTCTTAATATAAACTTGAGAGAGAAAGGTAGAGAGGAGACAGGAAGAAGAGGCGGGAAGTGTTGTTATTGTAGTTATTTAGTCGAAGGGTGATAGATAGTAGGTGAAATTTTAGAGAAAGACAAATTGAAAGCAGGAAGATTGTAAAGGAGTAATTCTTCTCCCGTTGTTGTTCTTTCATATTGGTCTTTTCAAAACTAAAAGAAAAAAAATAATGAATCCATCTTTAAATAATCTTTCTTTTTCAAGTGTAACCTACGTGACTTTTTAAAGAGGAATCTATCCACTTTTTTTTCATGGTTTATAATGTGACCAGGAATAAAAAAACACCAACAGCAGTGAGAACTACTTCAGTTCGGTTATCATTCATTGTAAAGTAAATATTATCATGAGTTGGACTAATGTATCTGTTTCGCATAGATTATACTATCTCACCTAGTCATCTTTGAACCATCCAAAGGCTAAATAAAATGTTAGCGAATTGATAACCAACTAAAGTGAGGTTTTCTTCAAAAGAGGTGAGTTTGAGTACGATTCGGGTGGTAAATGTTGAAAAGTCAAGTTAACAGAACAGTTCAACAACTAAGAAGGTAGTCTTATACGAGTACAGTCAAAGCATCCAAGATCTAGACCGAATATCTTTTCAGTTGCTTATGGTTTTAAATAATTGTTTAACTTTCAGCGGTCTTTAATTTATAGTAATTAATTATTAAGGTTGAATATATATATATATATAATCATTTTTCCTTCACGCTCCCAGTGGAACATAGGGCTTCAAGCTAGTGGCTTGAAGTTTCTGTAGCAGTGCTTATTTTTACAGGATGGGGTTGCTAGCCTCATGCCAAATATATATATAATTAAATTTTCTCTTTTACTGTTATTTTCAAAACTTCCAGAATTCACACTTGAACGTAGTTTTTTCCTACGCGTAAAATGCGTTTTGGCCAAAAGAAATGCTGGGTTAACTACTGCAGGTTTCAAAGTAAGTTCATTCCTTTTTACGAATTGACTACGGATTGATATCACTTAGACAACCATTGAAAATCAACTGCGACTACTGCCAGACAGCTGTTTCATTCTAGTTTGAGGATCATCAGAACTACCCACCCACCGCCAAGGTTCGAACCCAGGACTTTCCGGTTACGAGGCCAACCAGCTAGTATATCATTCAGTCACTGGGACCGGTTTACATGACCACCCCATCAATTCTAACTTCTGCCAATTCGTGGTGCATTTAGCACGACCACTAACCAATGTCATTGGTGGGACATCCGTCCTCACACTTGACTGGACGGATCTCACTGGTCACGACTCCAGGAAACTCCGTCCTGTAGCCAGTAGTCACTAGCGAGCATCAGATTAATTTTCTATAATTGGTTTGTAAGGCTTAGGTTTGCTTTTGCAAACTGACCACGGATTGATATTAATTATAGAACAATTGAAAACCAGCTGTGAGTACTGCCAAACGACTGGTTTTAATGGTCCTATAACTGATATCAATTCATAGTCAACTCATAAAAACAAATCTAATCCTTAGAAACCAACTATAGAAAAGTTCATTTCTGTTATCGTAGTAAATATTTATTTGGTATTTATGCAACTTAATAAATAGTCTGAGGACAGATAACCAGGTGAATGACTATCAAAATATCTTTAAGTTCATTCTGCGTACAAGGCTTCGCAGGTAGTAATTTCATCTGCCTTTGTTTCTTATCCCTTCTGGAAGTAATCGAAAATACATGAATACTCCACAAATGTACCATGCATTTTACTTACTTAACTATCTTCTTTCTTGTTAATATCTATTTATTAAAGTCTCACTTTATGCTAAATGAGTCTGCTTGTGATTAAAAGGAGGCTGTTACAGGATTTCATTATGAGCTGACATTAGTTAGAGAACCATTGGAAAACCTGAGAGTACTGGACAGCTGTTTCGTCTTAGTTTGGGACTCTTCATCAGTACGCACCCACCGGGATTCGAACCCAGGACCTCCTGGTTACAAGGCGAGGTCGTAAACCATTAAGCCACTGGGACCTGATCCAATGGCCCATGAATTCCAACTTTGGGAATTCACGACATAGCGCGACTACTAGCTAATGTCTTCTGCGAGTGTTGTTTAAGGTAGTGTTAAACAGCTGGGCTATTCATTAAAGAAAACAAAATGGTCACTTATTTGGGAATAACTATTATGGTCAAGTGTACTTCGTCTGTCCGTATTAATTTTCAAATGATTAATTTTTCTGTGTCCATTTCATGCAGTTCTCTTATTCAACTTGAAATCAGTTTAGCGGTATCACATTACTTACAAGTGGTAATATTCAGCGAAAGGATTCAAATCAGGTGGTTAACAGTGAATGCTCATCTACCATTAGAATTAATTTTGAATTAAGCGATGGTTATCCCAGCAATTGTTTTATTCTGTTGCACACATACTTCCTTCCTCACTGGTCTAGAAAAGCACTATGCCCATTTTGACGACATAACACAAGAAGCAAATATTTTAATAATTACTGTAAGAATAATGCTTAAATTTAAGTGAATGCATTTACAAGATTTCTGATAAAACAGATACCCGTCTGAAACAAGTTGAATCCACTGAAGTGACGTATAGTGTTGTATACTTTCACTCGGAGGCTTAGTGAAATGCTTCAAATTGAAGAAATCTAGCTTATATTTATGACAGTTTAGTTTCAATGGATTTGAGAGAAGTAACTTCAGTAACTGCTCCTGACGCCAGTGCGTCAGTGGCATAGAGGTTAGGACGCTCGCCAACCATGCATATGGTCCGGAGTTTGATCCCCGGTCGACTCACTCCTTTACCTGACCAAGCCAGAAATAATGCTGGTAAAGAGGAAAGGTTGGGCATGAGGCTAGCAACCCCATCCTGTGAAAATAATCGCCACTGCTACAGAAACTTCAAGCCACTAGCTTGAAGCCCTATGTTCCACTAGGGAATGTGAAGGAAAATATAGAAAAACTTCAGTAGTTGTTTTCTTTTCTTACCTTTATTGTTTGCTGTATAACTCTTTTTTCCTAATATGTTTTCAGGTGATACACTGTAATGGACATTTGCGTGTTCGTGTCATTCACTTAGAAGGCTATCAGTACTATCAAAATTTAGGCCTAATATCATTTGCTTACGCGATCCCGTCGCCGAATACAAACAACACAGAAATACGCTTAAGCATGGATATGTTTATGTTTCGTGCCAGTTTAGACTTGAAACTAATATTTTTGGAAGGCAGGTAAGCAAAGATGGATAAAATTTTGAAAGAGAGTAAATAACACACTAGCATTTCTTATTACAAATTGACTATTTAGCATATTTCTCCTACTTTTTTTTTATCAATACTGTAAGCGTCTCAAAGTAATAGTTTAATATGCTTACATCAAGTGGCTGGACTTAGTGTTGATTTCATACTCTCTCACACTTATGTTTATGGTGTTTACATAGTTGGAAGTTGAAATACCCTGTGTTATTGGAAATATTGATCTGTTGTTTGAATTATAACACTGATTTCTTCCGACCTTGAATTTTTGATTCTAATTTCTTAGTAAGACACGTATGAAGTCATTTGAACAAATATTTTCCCGCCATTATATACACCACTAATCATCACAGTGTCGACCAATTCTTGTTTGCTGTTGTTGCCCACAGTCATACTTTAATCAGACACAGATCTGAATACCACAGCTTAAGGTTTGAAAGTACCTTTAGTAGTTCTAACATTTGAACAAATAAAATGTCTGATCCTGTTACTCGCACCGTTATTCTGTAGCATTGTGTTATTGGATTTTTATGTTGAAACTGTTAAAATACTTTAAGGACTCTTAATAGAGTCTACAACACAAAAGCGTTCCTGCAGACAGGAGTGCGAGTTAAATGACAGTTGCCTCTATTCATGATTACTGTTTAATATAACTCACTCACTGATTATGACTGAAAATGGGGATGCCTGCTTGCTCCAGTCTATCACAGACAAAGAACCTACATGTCTATAATACTTTTTAAATATTAAAATGTTTAAAAGACCCTGGATACAAGAGTGAGTTTCACAGCCCCTTTTAAATTTGATTATGGTAGAAGCAACCTAGTGAATATCTCTACTTTTGCCACAATCTTTTCATGCTTAGTTCATGTTATTTTTTCATTACTTTATGTTATAAAAGGTGATTCTACCTTGTTGCATGCTGTTGAATAAGTGCCTTTCAACTATATAGAGTTAATAAAAGTTTGTCTTTTTCATTTCTGTCTTCAACTGTTTTCTTTCGTTTTGTCAAATAAAGAATTACTCAAATAACTGGTTTCCAACCCCAGGAATTGGTTGATAAAACACTTTACCAACTGGTTCATGCTGCAGATGTTGGATCATTAAAGCATTCACATGAAATACGTAAGTGACTGTTTCACTGCTGGATAGCAATGAATTCATTTAATAATCTAGTAGAATGTGATGGTGTTCAAGCACACAGTACATGGTATAAACACTTTGTGATAAAAGTGTCTTAATTTAATTTAATTTTAGATTTTCCCGTTGATCGATTGGACCGAAGTGCTCGGTCTCAGGTTGACATGTCGGCTTCTTGTGCAGATGCTTCGACGATGTCTAGGCATTTAATTAGAATTTCATTCGTGGATGGTGGCTAGCAGTGGAATCAAGGATTGGCGTTTGAAACTATGGACACTGGGTTTGAGCCTCCGTGGGAACATCATCACTCACCGGGAAACGCAGGTACATCCAGCTAACGAGTCCCAAATAGGACGAAATGCGCATCCTGGATTCCACTGCTAGCCACCATCCACCAATTGTATACAAATCAAATCCCTAGACATCGTCGAAGCATCTGCACAAGAAGCCGACATGTCAACCTGAGACCGAACACTTCGGTCCAATCGATCAACGGGAAAATCTAAAATTCAATTCAATAATTAGTATGACCCGTTGCACCATCCCCAAATTAAAAGTGTCTTAAGTTGGAAGTGTATTCACTTACAAACATCAAATGCAGTTCTTTTCCAAAAATTGTTATGGAAACTTGTGGTATAACATACCTGTGGTGTAGTATAACTTAATTTATTCAATGAAATGGGAAGATAACGAAAAAATGTAGTGAAACAAGGATCATGGAAATTACTTAGTATATGATAAAAATTATTATTAACTGCTATCTACTGTTCTTCCATAAACATTATAATATTCAAGTGTAGTTCTGGTTAATATCAGTTGTTTGATAATTTCAAAGTTTGTAGGCGAATTAGGCCAAGTAGACTCATTTACCAATACATTGACTGAAGATGAGAACACGTTGTTCAGATAAAAGTAATCCTTTTGCACTCTTTAATGATATCCGGTTGAACTATTATTATCTTCGACTAGCCATTTTTATAAAGGGAGGGGGGGTTAGTTATTAAATACCACATAAACTCTCTGGTATTAAACAACTGTTAGTCATTCATATTGGTTTCATTATGGTAACAGTGGTTTTTAGGGGAAAGTGTCACTTAAACTCATGTAAAACAACGTTAACTCCTTGAAATCATTATGGCGATGGTGATCTCGGTTTCCATAACCGCAGCTATGCACACTGAAATCATTTTCACTGTGTCTTTCTGTTTTAGGTTAGTATATTCAATGGTCATCTTTCTGTTTAATTTCAGTTTTGACTAAAGGTCAAGTTACAACTCCATATTACCGTCTACTGAATAAATCTGGAGGTTGGATATGGATACAATCGTATGCCACTATAGTTCACAATAGCAGATCATCCCGACCTAACTGCATCGTCAGCGTGAATTATCTTCTGTCGTAAGTATTGTATATTGTCATAGTGAAAGTTCTTCATTTATTTTAAGCTTAATTGATAAAGGTGAGATGAAAATTTCTGTCATGACAGAATTCGAACAAACAGCTAAGCTATGAAACATCCTCGCTGTTCGAAACCTGCTGTGACCTAGGTTTTCATTTCATCCGCAAATATTAATAACCACAGCAATATCAGTCTGCCGATCCAAAATTCTCACAGATAACTTTGCCTGAAACGTAGTCTGTTATTATTGGCGTTCCACTACTTAGTGCTATCACTTTTATTAAAGTAACAATGAGCTGGATAAGTGAAGTGATGGGTGTATGTATTAGGCATAAGTGTGAGTATAATTCTCGTTGAGTATGTGTTGAAAAGGTTAGTTTATGGTAGGGGATTAAAGTCAAGAGAATTTATTGTTTATTTCATCATTTCTAGCTGCAAGTGAAGATTTTTCTGGCTTTACAAGTTTACTACTCTTGAATTCTTCTGGGTTGGTCAGTAAGCAAACAGATATCGCATGATTTCCTATTTTTTTAATGCATAAATGTGAAGAAGCAATTCCAAAACTATGTGAAAATCTATGAGTTCACTTTACTGATACAGATGACTCGCTAATGCTGGAATCTAAAAACCCAGATTCATTCTACCTACAATTAATAACGTTTGTTTCATTCATCTATACTCCAACTAAGAATTAAACCTCCTATTCACTGTTTTAAGTGACGCGGGTTATTCATCCACCTGTAGGATTCATTTATTATCTAAAGAAACATGCGTTTTCCAGACGTTTTTCATTGCATTTTGTACAACTTTGGATCGATATTCCTAAATCGCATCAAAAAGAAATTCTTTAAGTATATTACTGATATGTATTAAAATAGAGCCACTCAGAAAACCTACTGTAGACATCACTTTACAGTACAACACCAGTGTGAGGAAGTTTTGTCATTTTGACATAAAAATAAAGCTTAACTAATGTGAATCAGAAGTAGTTTTTAAGTTAATGATAAAAAGGTTCCCTCTACCTAAAAACTAGTCGGTCAAATGATGACTTTCTTCTTTCACCTGTTTTGCAGAAGTTTGATTCTTTAATGGAAAATTCACAACGAAAATAAAGCCTAATAGCTTATAAAGTTTGAAATAAGTAAAAACTAAAATAAAATGAGAACTAACAATCAAATAAAGTATAATTATATTTCATTAATTTACACACAATGATAAGTTTTGTTATTGGTAATATTTCCAGCAAAATTACTGCCCGTGTTCACACCACTGTTGGAATTGTTTAATAACTTACCTTGCATATAATTAACTGCTCATTTCTTAACGCTTTATTTTTTTCCCAAAACATTTAGAGAACTTGAATTTAGTGAGTACTGTTTATTAAATGATCCATTAATGAACGAAGATACTGTCGGTCAGCATCAACAAGCAAAAACAAATCGTGTGGTAACGAATACACCACCACCACCACAACAACAACAAGCTCAACTGTTACCACCAATGCAACCGACTACTAAAACTATGATTAATTATGAGAATGACACAAAGAACCGAGTGAATGAATACTACCGTAGTGAGTACATATCAAAAATATCAGGTAGAAGTAATGATGATCCACCGCAAAAACGTACACGTCGGTGCAACACTACTAACACCCTCCGTCATGACAACACTGTCATGTGTGCGAATGATAATAGTAATACTAACACTAATTCACACAATTCTGTATTCAAATCTCAGACAATGTCTGAACATTTAACAAACAGTACAGACTGTTACTTTAGCAATTATAATCAGCATAATTTAAAGTCCATGTTACCTACAGACATAACTCAACTACAGTACGACGTATGGACAACAGAAATGCAAAAGCAACAACAACTGCAAGAATATCCAGAACCAACATATACATCAGTTTATCAAGAAAATGTCAATAAAGTACTGAATTACAAAACTTTAAAGTATCCAATGTACAATGAATGCTCTAAAGAAAATGAAGGTAGTGTATTAGTCCCACAATGGTCGCATATGAATGTAGACGCAAACTGTCAGCTACACCATCAGCCTCCTCATGACTATTCTGTTCAGATGCATTCATCACCAGTAAATTCAACAATTAGGTCAGATGGATCAGCACTTGTACCCTCTGAAACAATAACAAAAGTACAGAGTGATATGAATTTTTTGTGTAAAAAATTAGATGTTTCTCAACATCAATCACAACCACATCCTTATGATGGACATCCTCCACTTATGGGAGAAACTATAGTAGGAATGGGTGGGTCAAATGAAACAACATATTCAAATGGTAAACTTTCGATCATCGATAATTTAAGGAGGTTAGAAGGTCATTGCGAGGAAGCAGGAGAAGATGAAGACGACGACGACGAAGAAGAAGAAGAAGAGGTTGAAGGGGGACAGGAGAACGAAGAGGACTGAGGCTGTCTTAAATGTGATACTACTCAGATGGGTGAAGCATATTACTCACAAGTGTACCTACTTTCATTTTGATGCTGTAACATAAATATACAAGGCAATAAAAAAGTGTAACTGATAAACAGCCCTGACTAATACCACACAAGTTCCCAGCGCCAATATTCGTTTGTTAGTTAATTCATTTAAACAAATGCAAAGCCAGAATAAAAGATTGGAACTACCATTTTCTCGTAATCAGTAGATCACTGACATAAGAGGAAACTGTATCATTATCATTAGGTATTCTCAGTATTAATAAATCTAAATTATAATAAAACTGTGATCTGGCTATGCAACAGAATATCTCTTATTATTTACTTTTGCACAGAAAGCTGAAACTCAGATATAACATCATTTTATGTCAGTGTTTCCTACTTGTGTTTATGAGCAGTACGAACTATCTTCTAGGGAAGAAATATAATGTATTGTTTTCACTGGTTATAATATGACTGCTTATGCTACTTACTAATAAAGCAAAAAGGGATTGGTGTATGATGAAATGGAAACTCTTTTCCTCTTCCACTTCTTTTGTCATTGTCATTTGTTACATTTTGTCTACTTCACTCTAATTTTTCTCTTCTGTTATTACTGACATTTAAATAAACGAGGTGACAGTGTACAAGTAATTTAATAATTTTTTAATATATACAAATGAATGCTCTGAATGAATAAATACCTGAGATTTAGTACAAATGACTCCTCACTCAGTCATTCTCTTCTGATTTAATGTACTTTTGATTTTTTTTCTTCTCAGGTTGATTTGATTTAGATATTTGTCAAATAATAATAATAATAACAATAATAATAAAGTGAATAAGATTACAGAAAAATAAGAATTCTACTCTATCTTTTTTTTCTTTCTATCTGTTGCTTTTACAGAGCAAGTCAGTTCACTGATAGTATTAGTTACAAGCCGGAAACATTCGTGCAATCGAGTTACATTGATGAATAGTATTCTAGCGTGGACAAATTGTGTAAATTGCATCATACTTGGTAGAACAGTAAATTTGATTTGACACTAGTAACTAGTGTGATGCGTCTAGTCCTCTGATTGGTGTAGACTGAATTCTACCAGTCAGGTTGTAATGTGACCACCATTCTAGCTAGCTCGCCATCACGGTGCACATTGATTTGATGATATTAGATGGTTGGAGGCAATCGGCCATAGGAAACCTTGGACCTAGGTTTCGTGCTAGGTGCACTCACCAGTCAGTAAGGTGTATCTGCAATCTTGAAGGAACTCATGTCCCTTTTGAGATTCGAACCCGCGTCACCCAGTGCTGCAGTCCTACAGGAGGTCAATCGCGAGCCCGAATACCTCAGTGGTAACGTCTCTGACTGCAAGAGGGACTGGGTGACGCGGGTTCGAATCTCAGAAGGGACATGAGTTCCTTCAAGGTTGCAGATACGCCTTGCTGACTGGTGAGTGCTAACTAGCATGAAACCTAGGTCCAAGGCTTCCTATGGCCGATTGCCTCCAACCATCTAATACCATCAGAACAGTGATTTCTTTAGCACATAAAGTACTGATGTTGCTTGCGAACAAGGGATTTCACAAGTGGTATGAAACAGTATTTAAGTGTTCCATGAATTCTGTTGATTTTTCACTTATTACCCGATAGTAGTTCAAGGAGAAACAGAGAACTGTCATAAAGGAGAATAGACTTAGTTAATATACCTGTAGGCAGTTACAGAGACATATCATCATACCTATGGTGCTAGTGTAGTACGTCAGAGGGTGTACTTGATAGCTTAAAACAGTCTATGTTTAGTTATGAGACAATGGTAATAATAATATTTGAATAAACAGTCGATATAAGTGTTCAATACACAGCTAACAATCAAAACGATGGTGTGAAAATATAACATTCCGAAAAATTTCGTTACTTGTCATTCCAGCATTTATGGTAATTGTCAACAAATATTTCTTTCAGTAATTGATAACTTTCAGTGAAACGGCTTTGTTTTACAGATAAATTATTTTAAAATTATATGAAAAAGTCTATTTCATGTTTATTGTTACTTAAAGTGGATCTTTTAAGTGAACATTTGTTTGTCTGGCTGTTCAACAAACATAAATTTGCTGCCTAATTTCTGCACTCTAACAAAAGACTGTTTAGAATATATCATAAAGATGGAGACTATGAAGTGACTTGCTACAGGACGGAGTTTCCAGGAGTTCTAGTGAGAAGTCGTGGCCAGTGAGGTCCATCCAGATGTCACGACCAATGACATTGGTCGGTGGTCGCGCTAAATCACGAATTTGTAGAAGTTAGAATTCATGGGGTGGTGATGAAATCAGGTCCCAGTGACTGAATGGTATACGAACTAGCTGGCCTTGTAACCGGAAGGTCCTGGGTTCGAACCCTGGGAGTGGGTGGGTAGTTCTGATGATCCCCAAACTAGGATGAAACAGCTGTCTGGCAGTAGTCACAGCTGGTTTTCAATTGTTCTTCAACTGATAACAACCCATGATCAACTCGTAAGAATCTAGTGTCAGAATCACAGATGAATACAAATTCACGACAACTTATTGAAATACAGCAGTTTCAGAACTATTAGTACCTTCGGTTCGCTATTCTTTGAGATATATATATTTTTCCTAACTTATAATTCTTACAGCATGCGTTAGCTGACACTGAAAAAATGAATTTTAATTAAAAATCAACATGTAAGTGGCTGACAGTGAATTCAGGGGAAATGCTGAAAAGAGTTGCATTTTTTGGCTTTTTTTTAATCCAGGTGTTCCAGTCATGAATTTCTTCAACATATTTTTATGTAAGTATTTTATTTCAAGAACACTGAAAATAAAGTCATTGTAGAAACATGTCAAGGAAACTGAGTTCAACCCTTTATTATTATTTTTTTATAATGTAACCACTTAATTATAAAATTCCTGTCATATTAATTATATAATCTGACAGCTTAATTCTATTTTTACCCAAAATAGAAGAGAATTTTCACAACTTTATATGCATACACGCATACGTACATACATGTGTATGCACCAACATACTGACATACATGCATACACATACACAAACACACAACGATAGGTGTTAAAATGACTGAATAAAAGCACGGTGATGTGTGGAATTGTCTATAGTATGTGTAATTAATTCCACGCGCTTCTAAATAAATGAGGTGGTGGAGCAAGATAGCCACTGATACTTGATGAACATCATAAAATTTTTTATATAGCTGCATAAAATGATACTTTTATGCATTTCTGTGAACCGTAACTTGTCATATATATATATATATATGCAAGCCATAAAATATATTTCCCGACACTTGCAATCACCTTCATCATTCTCCTTCCTAAGAAAGGATAAAACAGAGGGGATATGTCAATTTTTTTCTGGTTAGGTTTCAGATATGTAGTATTGTATGCAAAACGTGATTATTTGTCTTCACAAACGAATATACATGAATTTTGATTTAGTAGGGAGGTCCTCTTTGTCGGTGGCTAGGTGTTGTTTTAGAAGTTAAAACTGGGATGTATGTAAGTTTTCATATTAATTGACAACGGAAATTGGGTAGTTTGGAAAAAAATGTGTGTTGTAATGAGGGTTCTCTGTATTTTCAGGTCTTTATCTCAGTTTAATAGTCAAAATAAGCTGCCTCTCACTGGTTTTTATTTTATTTAATATTGAATAGATGGGGGGTGGGGGTGGGGGGGGGGAGAGTCTACGTGTACCACATGCCTACATGTACAGAAATATTTTGAACCTAAGCTGATGATTTGTGGTCGGTTACTTTCAGCACTGGATTACCTATATGAGTGTAAGTTGGAACAAGTATCATCAAAGCATCCATATTAGGACACGTTGTGTCATAAGTGACCGAGTATTTCCATTCGATATTGTCAGTCAACAAGAAATACAAGTTAACTTCAACAGTGACCAGTATAACCTGCTTATAGTTCATATTTGACTTTGTATTTATGTTATATGCTAACTGTTGTAAGGATGGATTCTTCATGATAGCTAATAAATATATTCATGAAAGTTTCATCTAACATTTTCAGGTGTTCAAGTATTGGTTTGTAGGGATTTAGTTGATTGGTTACAGGATTTCATCATGAGCTGACATTGGTTAGAGAACCATTGGAAAACCTGAGAGTACTGGACAGCTGTTTCGTCCTAGTTTGGGACTCTTCATCAGTACGCATCCACCGGGGTTCGAACCCAGGACCTTCTGGTTACAAGGCTAGCTCGTAGACTGTTGAGCCACTGGGACCCGATCCAATGGCCCAGGAATTCTAACTTCTGTCAATTCCCGACATAGCTCAACCGCTAGCCAATGTCTTCGGCGAGTATTTGTCCTCACACCCGACCTGCTGCACCCTACTGGTCACGACTGGTCACATTTTCAGCTGTTATTATCAGCGAAGCCATAAAGTAATATTCACTCTTATTTAAGAATTTATTGAAGTTAGACAGAAGTAGGAAAATTATTTTGTTCTGTGATGGCAATATGAGAATGAAGATAACTTGATAATTCACCTCACTAGGTTATTTTATAAATTTGCTATTCAATCAGAGTCTCCCAGTTATAGTAGAATGTATATGAAACTAAAGTTTTTCAAGCTTTATAAATTTCTGAAACAGACATTAGAGGATAAAGTCTTCTTCTATTGTTTTAATACTATCAAATATCCTTTTAATAGTAGCATTTTCACGCCTTTCTGATCAAAGGAATTGAAACTTCCACTCTATGAACTAGAAATATATAGACATTTAAAAGTTATTGATAATAGTTAAATGATTGCGAAGTAAAAGGTTCGCCTGAATAAATTGTGACAAAGAGATTATATATGTGTATAACAGATTACCGGAGAATATATTCTTTGAACAATAAGACCAAGGTGATCTTAGCTAGAAGAAATTTTGCGATTCTGAGGCTACTGATTGACTAAGTGACACGCATTCTTCTTAAAGTTATTCTGACTAAATCAGATAGATTTTGAAGTGATTATATATATATATATCTTTTGATTTCTTGGCTAAAATATTCAATGTGAATGTCAAATATTCAAGAGGAAAATTCGTTGAGCAATTTCTGTGGTTTTTAAGTCGTGTATTCACACTTAATAAGCTGTAAAATGATGTATTTTTGTTATTTATAGGTAATTGCTGGATGCAACATTTTTTTCCTATAATACATACAATCTGAAGGTTAAGGCAAACAAAACGCTATCATGATCACTTCAGATGGTAAATGAACAGAAGTTTGTTCTCGTGTGTGTGTGTGTGTGGATAAAGTATGTCACTCTTTGACTTACACTAGTTCCTGCTGTCAATAATTTATGTTAGTTGCATATTAGCGATCATCTTGCGTATAACCTCTCGTTTTGTACGCTTTTAGAGTCGAATTTACTTCATAAAAGTATCTGGATCTTATATGAGTGATTTAACCTGATCTTTGAAGACTATAAACTATAATTCTTTGCTAATTTAATAATAATAAGTTAATAAGTAGTGGTTCCAGGGGACTGACTCTGCGTCAGAGGCGCAGCGGTTAGGACGCTCGCCGACCATGCACATGGTCCGGAGTTCGATTCCCGGCCGACTCACTCCTTTACCTGACCAAGTCAGAAATAATGCTGGTAAAGAGGAAGGGTTGGGCATGAGGCTAGCAACCCCATCCTGTAAAAATGAACACTGCTACAGAAACTCCAAGCCTCTAGCTTGAAGCTCTATGTTCCACTGGGAAAGTGAAGGAATAATAAAAAAAACTGTTTAGT